CAGACCCCTCTTTTCGAAACAATCTCTGGGGGTGCTTTTTGTGCGCCTCGGCTTGGCGGAGAATTTTCCTTGAATTGGGACACTGCACCCCTAGAAGCTTACAGTTTAGCAAGGAAATGCTTACTAACACACGTATATTGCGAGTGTTCCCCGGCTGTTAATATCTTTTTCCTATCTTATTTCTTAAGGTTGCTTTCAATGACATTTCAACACAAAAGAGCTACTGTCGCTCTTGGGACACGAGGTGTACACTTGCTTGGGAAAGAGTGTTGGATATTGATGCCAATTAAAAAAAATTTTCTCACAAAGTATGGTCACTTAGGGAGAATTAGAAGCAAATCTGGCCATCATTTGTCTTTCTGTGACTTGAAAACCTAAAACACTTAGGCCTATTCAGGTTGGGGAAATTTCAAGTAGGCCCTATTCTTTGAAAAGGGAATTATTTTGTCACAGCCTGTGGACTTTGTGCATGAGGTCAAAGCATAGTCTAAGAAGGTGGTGGCCAGACTATGAAACTCAAGAGGTAGGATTGTAAATCTGTGTACTGACCTTGGAGACTTGAGGAGTGGATTTCAGATGTTCCAGAATTGGATTTGTTTCTATGTTGTAACTTAAGGTACACGTAAAAGGGGAATCACCCATTTTTCTGGATCTGGGTCCCTTGTTTATTTGAGAGCCTGATATCCACAAAATTAATGTTAAAAATGATTGAAATTCAAGACAGAAATATTCAATGTTGAAAATCACTGAGACAATTTTCTATCCCAAACCACCATGAAGAACTGTGTTTTCAATACACTCTACTAAGCCAGTTCACTATTCCAGCAGCATATGCCCAATAATCATGCTTTAGGTCATTCGGGTGCGTGTGTGAGGTCTGTCCAATCAGTGTGGCTTTTAGCAGACTCACACACATGCTTCATTTATGAATGACATTGCTTTTTAAACACTGAACTGACTCGTTTTGATGTATGCATGTAAATATTCTGAAAAAGAGAGTTTTTCTTACCTGTGCAAAGTATACGTGTGTCAGCTTAGTGTTGATTGATGGAAGCTACATGTAGGTTTCTCACAACAGGTATTTGTAGGACTTCAAAAATCCATTTTTTTAACCAGAAAAAGACTTTTTTTCATCATTGTACCTGTTTTGCTCCTTTATCCTTGCGCAGGTACATTCCATCAATGAAGATGAAAGCCCTGTTGCCTCTATGCAGACAACACACGTGTAGATGAAAAATTCCTCATAGATCCTTTCAGAAGATCCAGTCAGGCACATTTAAAGTCATAAGTGCCAACTTCGGGCCAACGGTTCCTCCTAGAACCTTCAAGATGGTACATATAGCTGTGTTGGGCTGTGGCCTGATGGGCAGCAAAATAGCAGGTACTAGCCAAGTATTCTCAAGAGAAAGAGACTAAAGACAAAATGTGCTATTGTTGGTACATTGTTAGCATCTCTAACTCCTTTAGCCGAGAACCTATACATTCACTATTTTTAGCCGTAAGCTCATTGGATTACTTGATTTGGAAAATAGTTTTTACATGGGAAGGCCCATAGAAAATATTTAGTTTTCTCTGGGGGTTGGATTGGCCAATTTGGTGCACCAGTTTGTATAAAGTGACTAATTTGATTACACAGACTTTGAAGGAAGAGAATGGAATGGATCATTTATTTGTGGGACTATTTGAGGGAGGAGAGGTACTAAGAGTGACTTAAACTTGTTTGTCAGGTCATTATTGCTGTTAGCAAATCTTCTGAAGCAATGCTTTGGCCAACATCAAGCTGTTTACTGTCACGTATTAAATACAGATATCAGAAATTAGGGATTTGTATTGTACGTAACATTCCTGCAGTTTCCGTGGCTGAAAGAATAAAAGTTGAATGTTTATTACTGTGCTGATTGCTAAAGAAAGTTCTTTCCAAGGATTCCAGTCTGAACAGAACTCATACCTTGTGTGTAATTCTCGTGACAAATCTGCTTAATAAAGGCCATCAATTCTGCTTTGTTCGGAAAGGTTGCATGGCATACCATGGCCACAAAGTCAAGGTGTATGATTCCAACTCTGGAGCCCTAGATGCTCTGCACAGCAACTTGGAGGTGGACAAGAGAGAACTGAAAAGTGAGGGATTAATGATCCATCCCAACTTCCTTGTGAGTAAAGACTCAGAAGATTTACTTCCATTGCAGTCTCTTTTGGGGGAAGGGATTTGAATCTTTGGCATGGAGAAAAGATGCAGTAAACATGCATTTGGTTCTTTGTGAAGATACATTGTACATGTGTTGTGGTCAAAACCATCACTTGACTGTATACAAGACCATCTGAAACACAGGCGCACTGGCAAGGAACTTTCATAAGTAACAGTTGCATGCTACATCATGTTGCATTTCAAGCATTCTGCAACGTTGGCATTTTAATTGTGTTGGATTTTGTTGCGTTTCTTGGGATGACTAGAGAAATCCTGATAGGGATGTGGCTTGTCGTTGGTTGTGCTTTGCTCCAATTGTACGGTGGTTGCTGAAGTTCCTTTGAGTTAATCAAAGTATGAAATGACAAGTATTCCGGTTTACTTCTTTTGATTTAAGGGCCAAGTTTTATGCATCAGTAGGCTTGAGGAAGCAGTCAGGGATGCTGAATACATCTTTGAGGCAGTTGTTGAAGATCTAGAAATCAAGCAAAATCTTGTTCGAGGTAAATGCTTTACTTTGTCTTGTTATTTTTATGCTTTGAAGATACTGCTACAGGGTATCACCCACCTGCTTGCGTGAGCATAGTGCTGCTCTCGCAATGGCTTCTAATTCTGGTTACCAGACTGAATTCATAGTGTGCTCCATTTGCTACTCTGTTGATTTTCATTGTGGGAGGGGCCAGTTGTTAGACCATCAGCCATTAGTAAACTGATCCATTATAGCCCATCCCATTGCATGACCCGCCACAATTGGGGCCCAGTCCAAAAAGTGAGGAGGCCCCAATCTATGTTCAGTCCATAGGGCTGTTGTGATGTTGTGGGAACTTCAGTCGAGCTAAACCTCCAGGCGCTAACGATCATCTTTTCCAGTGATATCATTGCAGAAGTCTCTCTCCGCCTTCGTAAATAAAATATGGACACCGGTGTTGTACATGTAGTTTAGTCCATCACAAGTCTTTTCTCAAGTCCTCTCCAAGTCCAGACACAAATGATGGAAATGCTTTTTGTCATGGTTCATACGAGTAACTTGTGACTTGACTTGACTTGTGGTTAGATGGCTTGTGTTGGTCTTGTGATTTACATCCACTGCAGAGACTTGTGATGGACCCAACTGCAGCACAGGGGCCAATTTCATAGCACTGCTTATCCCAAAAATTTGTTTAAGCGTGAAAATACCTTGCTTGACAAATCAGGTTACCAGCCAAAACTTCTTGTATGTATATTGTCTTGGAATGGTATTTACCTGTCTTTTGGTAAGCATGACAATCACATAGAGTTTGAGCTGGTAACCTTTGTTTATTAAGCAAGGTTTTTTCGTGCTTAAGCGAATTCCATGCTTAAGCAGCTCTATGAAATTGGCCCCTGCAGGTGACTTAAGTCTGTCATGCAGTGTTATGGTTCTACTTATTTCCATTTATTCTAGTTGTCTCTCATTTCTAGAGGTGTCCCATCTATGCAGTCAAGATGCAGTCATCAGCACCAACACCCTCAATCTGGATATACGAGAAATAGCGGTCAAAGCAGCCTACCCAGAGGTATTTGATGGGATAATAAATATTATATGGAAATTTTGGAACTGGAAGAAAGTTGCAGAACTTTGTGATTGCATATATGTGGTAAAATGTGCAATCTTGTTATTTTCAATGTAATAACGAAGTTTTATGTTTGACAGAAGTTTTAAATTGACTTGTTTCTTTTTTTGTTAACTGTAGAGAGGCTTTCCGGCAGTAGTGCTCAGTCTTTACTCACATTTACCGACATAAATTTACTGGTCCCTGAGATCTTACCCCATCCAGTGATCACAGTTTACTTACCAAACTCACCCATCCATTTGGCTCACTTTTTTTTTCTTGCATCCTCTTCACTTTTCTGTTCCATTATGATATCATGTTTTATTGTGCTTTCTATAAGAAGATTGATGTTTTGAATATATGGGTATGTTATAAACAGAGGAAGGTCTTATGTGATGACAGAAACATCATGTCTGCTATTTGAAAAAAAAAACTTTAGTAGGCATGATGCTACCGACATTATGAGATGTTTTTGGATGTTCAGCGATCAGGTGTCTCACTTGACTATGATGACTGATAGCTGAATGTCTGAAAATACTGACAGGGATATCATATTCCAGTTGTCTGTTCTCCACAGAGGGTCATGGGACTGCGCTTTCTGCACCCTGTCTATGCTGTGCCCGAAGTGGAGATAAACCCGACAGCATTCACTGCTCAGAAGTGTGTTGAGAAAGGTATGTGTGAGAGTTAGAATGATGTCAATAAAAATGGGCTAAGGAGGAGACTCTAGGAGAATTTGGAAGAAACTGCTCTGACAGATGACACCACTTAAGAGGCTGTCAAATTCTGACTGATAGATCATAGACGGTTATTACTAACAAGAGCATTTGAGGTTCACAAATGTTGGATGTCCAAATCTGAATTTAAATTAGTTCAGATTTTGCATTTTGCTTGGTTTGCGTCAGACTGTTGTTTGATTGATGGTGGTCAGAAAAGCAATTTGTATTGGCTTGTGTGGAAGTTCTGTTACACCCTCTGCAGTCTGTGAAATTATTTCTGTTACCGAAGGGTTTCCGAGAAGCACGTAAGTTGACAGGAAGAAACATGTTTTGGGCATCATTTTTTGTTTGCTCATTCCAGTGAGGCAGTTTCTAGAAGGCATCGGCAAAACCCTATTTTTCCGGTCAGGCATGGAGCCTCTTATCCTGACACCTGAGCAGATAAACTCCAGAAAACTTGGTAACTCTTTATTTTTATATCTTAATGCATTCTTCTGTCTTGCTCATTTTTTTCCCTTCAGCTTGTGGTTAACTTCCATATCTTTAAACAAATCACCGATCTCATGTTACTTAAAGATTTGCATACCTGTTCATCGGTATTATTTCAATTTTTTCTAAATTTCCTCATGAGTTAGATTTCTAGTGCAGTTTCTTTACCTACAATTTGTAATTGCGTGAAGAGTGTCCATCCAAACCACATTTTCATAGTTGCGTTTTCTTGTAGTTTATTGATGTGGCCTGAAGCCATTTGATGTCTTGTGAATCCTAGCACGCAGGCAGCAGTTATTACGACAACATGGCATGCTGGGAATTCCAGATCGGGGTATGCCTCACCTAGGTCACAGCGGAAACTTGACACCACCTCAAGATGATGAATGCGGTAAGTCAAACATGTCATAGATGTTACAGTGTTTTGACGTACATACTGTATTTGTTCACTCTTTGTCTCAGTACGCCGTCCATATTGGATGACCTACACATGTAGCCGCCGTTCATATTGAAATTCTGCCAGTGTTTTAATTTGGTATCATGCATACCTTTAGATTTATAGATAAAGAAATCTGAAACAGTTAAGCAGTCTCATGCATTGGTCATTTTCATATTTCTTGGTCAAAGTATGGCTTTTCAATGTGTCATCACCTATCTCAGGGACTGTCTCTCCTGCCAGAGAGTCAAACATCAGGGACAGTTTGTGAATAAACGTACGTTTGTCTGTTGTGTCAGAACAGTTGTCAGCAGGTGTTGGGCTCAGATGAACCACAATTCAAAATGCTTCAATTTTTTTACGAAACATACATGTAATGCAGAACCATGGAATGTCCTGTAGTTGGAATCCTGCTTTCTAATTTTTATCTTTAGTCAACACACTCAGTGAATCTGTATTGAGGTACTGAACACTATAACATGTTTGTATGCCATGGCAATTCGGGTGCCATTTGAATACACCATCTGTTAGGTGTATTCCTCCTTACGAATGCATTTTAATGACAGGTTAGCGTGCATGAAATTGTAGGTGGTTAAGAACTCAGTGTACTGTTTTTGGGGCAGGGCTTGACTTGCAGAGGCCAGAGCATGTGCGCCCTATGTTTTCCCTCTAGTCTAGAATGTTCAGTAGTTCCCTCTGTCTGTCCTGAGCGGGAACAGGAGAGGGCGTGTTTTCACACAGAAATGACGGTCCTTTGGTGAGAGGGCACTCACCATGCCCATGCACAGGTTTATGTATATTTAGTACAGAACATGCTTAGCCTGTGCGACCAGTTTCTCTTTGAATAAACAGTCTTTCCATGTGTGCTGGGCATGTGTAAGAACCTTGTTGCAAAACTTCCCTGCAGCATGTCTCTTCTTTGCCAGTGAGGGCGTGCTTCAGTTCAGGGTAGATAGTGCTGCTGCAGAGCACAGTGTGTCCAGTGGTTTCGTGTGGAAAAAAAAATTGCATTCATAAATTCAACAGATAAATATCATCTGATGGTTAGCGTTAGCTTTGAAAATCATTCTGTTTTGTGAAAGAATTTGTCACAGGTTTCCCAAAACACTTCATGAAGAATTTTATATCAAGACATCCATGCACAGTCCATAACATGTTTCACAGTATTAGAATAAGGCTAGTGAAAAATCGTGTCTTGTGGAGAGCAGCCATTTTAAATCTTCCCGGTCCTTGTTTTTGTTCCATAGGGATACACATGAGTAGACTTAGGATTTTTATGTACATGTACATCCCCCATAACAAAAGCACTGACCAGGAAGACGGTCGCTTAGCATCACCTCCGTTCCTGTTGATTGCATACTTTGTCACAACAGATCGAAGGCTGTGATGACAAACCTATTTAGAATGCAGTCTTTGGCTGGCCCATAACGATTTTGAATTTTTTTTTATCCCCATAGTTTATTGTTCCAAACTCTCTCTCCAAAATCAGGCCAAAGTGGCGTGAATGTTGTCACGTAACACTTCTGACAGCACAGATTTGCTGCAGCTCTCATGGAAAACTATAGCTCTGTGATTATAGTTCATGTTCGATTGGACGTTAAATTAAAGTTGTGATTGAGGATCCTAAGTGGTTGGGGCTTGGTATTAGTTGGGAGTCATTTTCAGTACTGTCCTACATATCAAAACAGTTTAGACAGCTTTGGCCTGGTGTTATTGTAGCAGAGAGAGAGTCACATGTTGAGGACTTATGACCTGAATGAGTTTCTGTTTATGAATTGTATTCATTATCATGTTACTTATAGTTGTTCCCAATATTTGTTTTGAGTTTCAAACCTGTTGAAAGACAAAATCCAGATGACCACCATCCATTTTTTTTCATTTTTCATCAGTTGCTTTTTTTCCCTTGTTCATTTCTGTTCAGTTTTGTTTGCATGAACTAATGAAACATGTAGTTTTCATTTCCATCTTTTTGATTACTGATTTCTCTCTAGGGTGTCATCTGACAAATTTCAGCTTACAGAGTTTCACCATAATGCATATTGTTTCAGCCACTTTCTCTGTTTTTGTAAACATTTGCTTGTTGGCAACAGTCATGAATTTAACTGGAACCCTGCAAGTCTCTTTCAGGATTCTTGGAAATTCAGAACATTTATGAAGTTTGCAGTAGTTTTCAGGTTTAGGGGAACATTACATGTATGCTAAAACTGCACATTCATGTTTTGTAGGAATAATTTCAGGACCAAAGAAATGTATTACTTAATGTGCTAAGTTTATTTGGCAGAATTGAATAAAGCCATCAACTCTGACAGAAAAGAAGTGAAAAGATGAAGGGATGTAATACTGAATATGAATTAAACCATGCCCCAAATTATGTGTCATCAAACAGTAAAGGAGGATTATTGAACCCGATCCAGTACTCGGACCGTACTGAAGCATCTGTATAAAGACCTCCATGAGTAATAAGAACCTCTTTAGTTTGTGTTATTTTCTTTCCTGCAAGTTCTATGTAACTTACAAATCTACATGCTCCAAAGAGTTTATACATGTAATGTTGAGACACACTGGTTGGAAATGCAGCAAGCCAGGTACTTATGATATGGAACTTTGTTCACGTGTACACCTCCCTGTGGTGTTTCAAATCCATCATCCTCTCCTGGCTCCGAAAAGAATATGTACATACACGTGAACAAAGCTTGACATCATCAGTGCAAAGGCCTTTTAATTGGTTCTCCTTACTGAAAATTGTCTTCAAACAACCCCACCCACATCCAACTTCCACATTATTAAGACCTTTTGCATGGAGTTGTGTTATTGAAATGGTTGATTTCGTCATTCCACTCACTGTTCTTGACTAACCTTGTTTTTCTCATCACTCACACACCTGTTCCCTAGCCACTGTTGTTGACCGGGACTGTGCTATCTGCATGGACAGGCCCAGAGACTGCCTTCTCTGCCCTTGCCATCACCTGGTCACCTGCCACGACTGCGCAAAATCCTTGATGAATCGCAGGGATTTCTGCCCCATTTGTCGAAAGGAGATTACTGAGACAATCAGGGTCTATACTTCATGAATGTATTCCTGTGTGGATGCATTGTTCTAGTTAAGCACTTCTAATGAACTGGATACAGGCATGTAAACCAGTAGTTTGCCTATAAGTAGACAGTGTATGTACGTGATACCCCCCCAAAACAGCTAGGACCCATGAAAGCTACCATTCCTTATATTGCCCTACCCAAAACACATTTGGCATTCTAGTCGGTGTACTGGCATGCAAGCATGCTAGTGCACAGAAGTTGCTTTACTCAATTATGTGTGCTATCATATTGGTACTACCGGTATAGTACTTGTACTTGTCCAGAGTGGAATTTGAGGCAGTTCACGTTATAGTCAGGGTTCTTCAACAACTGTCTCCTGCTGAATTAATATTATCCGATAAATGTGCAGCAAGCTGTTATTTGTGAATTACTATTCGATTAAATGTGGAATATGGAACATCTGTGCTTGTTTGACTTGAGTACTGCTTGCGCAGAGCCAATCAGTAGCTGAATCTTAAATGACTGAATATGTGGGAGCAAGAAGTCAGCAGCTGACAGCTGGATTCTGTAGCTTTTAGTCATCTTTGAATGAAACCTGTAGGAATTGGGCCCTTGTCCATGCATGCAGTGATTAGATGTCTCATAAGAAGACTATACAGAGTTTGGATTAAAATTCCTGTTCCTTCTCGTTACCCTCAGGGTCTAGATCTTGAGTGTCGGCAACATGGCGTACACTCTACAGGTATTCCATATTGACCCAAAAAAGATAAAGTTGAGCCTGTATTTTGGGCCTGTTTATTCAATATTATGTTCAACAACAAATATGCAAAATCTCCAAGCCTGTAAGGAGTGTTACTGGCCTATCTGCTCTGAGCTGGAACTAGAGAGGGCTTGTGTTCACAAAGCATATATGGTCCTGTGGTGGGAACTCGCCACAAGCTAATTGCGTATAGATTCATGTGTGCTCAAATGGTGTGTGCTTGAACATGTGGGCTAGATTTCTGTTTGACTTTATGGTCATTGAGAAAGTACTAAGTGCGTGCACAAGTCTGGTAAGAAAACTTCTAGCAGCCTGTCTCGTCTTTGCTGGTAAGGGTGCACTTCAACTTCAGGAAAGTGACTTGGTCAAGATAATTTCCTTGTTTTGTATTGTGTATATATTTTTCTTAGTCTATCACTGCCATTTCAACAAAGACCAGTAAAAAACTGGGGAGTATCTGAAATTTCCAAACCAACTGGCAGTCTGAAATCTACACAAGCTGGTGAACTGAGTCCAGACCAACAAAACACCCCATGGACATCGTATGAAAAAATCCTGACTTGTAATACCTTTGTACTGAATGAAGCCACCAGCGGCCATTTTACCCTGCCAAATACAAAGGCAATGGTTGGCTGACTTGCAATAAACCAATTGCGCCTGCTAAGTCACATGCCCTACAGTGAATATCGACAAAAATGGCCTTCTCCAAAAGCAAATTGTTTCATGAGTGTCATTTACCAAAATTAAAGCCGTCGGTATGCATTGCACTCAGACTATTGATGTGCTGGGTACTGTACCATAAATGGGCTTTGTTGTTCGTAAACCACACTCAAAACACATGTTGATATAGGGTTGATACCCACTACAGGTCATATGATTTAGTGGATGCAATTGGTCTGTTGTAACTATGGATGCCACAAAAGAATTTGATTAACAGTTGTGAGGAAGCTTTTGTATTACCTTTGTATTTGGCACTGTAAGATCGCCACCTAGTGGCTTCAATGATCTGTGTGTCGATGAAGGGATTACTGGTCAAGATCTTTTTAAATGAAGTCCTTTCGAAAAAGCAGCTTTGCTGTAAGTTAGAAAATGTCATGATTCTGTGATGGAGCACGTGTCATTTACCACAGTACATGTAGCTCCAGGATTTGTACATTTAATCCTATTGGTTAAAAAAATGCTGGAGACTAATGTTAAACACATTACAGTATAGGCACTCTTCAAAAGCCCACTGAAACCCTGCGTCTATGTCAATCTCCACATATCCACTCCCTCCAAAAACACATCGTTGCTTTCAAATCTTTTAACATATATATTCTCTACTCCTGAATCGTCTTAAAGTTTTATCCTGTTTGGGAGGGGTGCATGCCCAAATTTAGGTGTGTGATGGTCAGGTGTGTGTTTGTTTGGAATTCTTTTGTGTGAACTTGATTTGAGTGCCTCTATACATTGTACATTCTTTTTTTATTGAATTTTTTGCCAAATAGTTATATATTATGCAATCAGAGAAAATCCTTCACATGATGAAATTTGTTGTTTTTATGTTATACATCAACTTAATGAGGATACTATGCTGTTTTCAGAACTCTAATTATTCATCATTCTAGGTTGTCTATAACTTGAGTTATGCTCTTGGGAAGTTATATAAACCGGCTGACCTCATTTTGAGAATTCAAGCTTTAAAGGTTGGAGTAAAAAATTTCATTGGCATATCACAAAATTGACGGAGAGGAAGATTGCAAATTAAAGTTGTAGTTGCATCAAAGGACAGTTATTTGAATATTACCAATTGAAATGGTGAAAAATCTCAAATTGTCAAAAATAATTTGGAGACTAATTTGCCATTACATGCATAAATTCCAAAATAAGTTTGGCGACATCTGAAGGGTTTTCCCAGATTGCATCACATATAGATTTAAACTTCATGAAGGTAAACCCGGACCAAACTGCTTCTTTCAATATCTCATTTAGATATCGAGATATCTAAATATTCTGTTGTACATTATTGGAAAACAAGACACCTTTATTTTTAACTGAATTTTTGTGCTTAAATTGTTCTGTTCGACCAACAGTTTTATAGCCACATTTCAGGATCACCCATCATATTATGCATCTATCGTGATATTTACATATATTTAAATTTTGCATCGGCTGCTTATGCATTTTGTCTGTCAACAGAAATGTAGAGTACATGTATATCTGTTTTTGTTTTGCTTAAGCAGGTTTCATTCTGCAGTTGTGTATATTGAAAGAGAGAAAAATCAAATCTATTTTGTGATGTTGGAGTACAGGTAAATGCCTGCCTTGTGCAATATATGAGTTTGTAAATATTGGTGTATTAAAATACATTTAGTAGTTCGGATTCAAGAAAACTAATACGGACGTTTCACAGTAGTGCGCCACTAAGAGTTTACAATGCATTCGCCAATCACAATGTGCGAAATCTGTTGTCCCTTTCCAAATGCGCATTGGGTCGAAAGTTTTCGGGCAGCGCGTTACATACTCTTGGTGGCGCACTATTGTAAATTGCCTGTATTAGGATTGGTGTAAATAAATTTGTGATATTTATCAAAATAATTGATACACATCACCTTTAAAATGTGTTCATGTCAAGTGTAAGAAATCATTCTTAGAAGAAATCGTTTAAAACTTTGAAAAATACGTCAACTGTTCTTTGCCTTGGGCTATTTTCTTCTCAAACCTCTTACCTTTGCTACTTAATACCGGTAAATGAGCAGTACCATAACATGTACAGTTTATTTTCAAGTTTGTGTGTCAAAATGTTTTCACATGCTTGGTTTGCATGTTAAAAAAAATGAAAAAAGAAAATGGGGGGGGAAGGCTGATATCACAGTATTTCTTCGTTTGTTGACTTACTTTCTCTAATTTTTATAATTCTGTCTTGAATTTTTACCATATACTTATACCTACACAGGGTATAGTCCTCACTGGTGGTTCCAGATGTTATGTTTTTATCAAGCATCTTCTATGCTATGGATTGCGATAGAAAAGCATCGTTCAGCAACAATTGATGTCTCTTGAATGTTTCATATTATTGTAAATGAACAATTGCTTTGTACGTGTTTGTGATATGTACATTTACTGTGTAGACCAACACTGTGGGATTGAAGATGGCAGTAGATCAGCATTGTGGAAGTGTGAATTTGTAGGAGTTTCTGAAATATTACAGCTGCCCTAGTACCAACACTGCTTGATACGCCACGGGATAAAGTAATGCAGTATCTGGTGTGATTGAATTGTACATGTACATCAATTCGATTGTGTGGCTGAAAGAAATATCACTGTGATATATTTCATAACTAAACATAGCTTTGGCTCCATGACCTTCATGTTTCTTTCTCTTTTTCCTTCACTTTCCTTCCCCACCTGTTTTGGCCAACAGGTCTCATAGAACGATCATTCTGTATTACATTGCATTTTGTCACTGAGTATCGATTGCTTCAGATTTGTTGTCTGTAGATGCAGGCTCATCGTCCAGTAAATCACATTCTGTCATTCACTTTGAAAGGTGAGTTGTGCAGTCTAATTTAGTGTATGGATACATGTACTTTGCACAATTTAGACTCTGTAAGCTATGTCACTAATACTTAAAAGCCATGTTGTGTATAAAATGCTTGACTTTGTCCATATGTTGGTTTACATGTATTCCAGTTTTTCTGACTCCAGGAACACTGAAAGTTTCCTGTTGGCAGGAGGTTGGCTAATGTGCACAAAATAGTCACTAAATTCTGCATTATATCTGTCAACTACACAACGAATACTGAATGAGGCTATGAACCTGGACAACACAGGACGCTTTGCTCACCTGCAGCACCCTTCAGGTAAACATGCTCCACGCTAGTTCATCAGTGGCATGCAGACATAGGATTTGATCTGCTCATGTGCACGTAAAAGCCCACAGGATCTCATATGAGAATACCAGGCACGTGATGGTAGTGGTGTTGAGTCGCCTTTCACCTCTGCCACCCTGGTTTGATAATCGGCTCAGGCCACATATGGATTGGGTTTTCAGTCCCTACCTGATTCCAAGGGTTTTTCCTGGATCATTCTTCTGGGGTCTCCCTTCCGCCACAAAATGAATGTTACTCTCAGGTTTCTTCAGGTTTACTAGCTACAGTGTCTAGGGCAGTTTTGAGGAAACCTTAGTTTCATTAGAAGAAAGACTAAATAATGATTGTTCCAGCTGCGTAGGAGCCTATGCAGTGATCACTGCCTTTCATTTGGTACACTTACTACATGTAGTATTTCATGAAAGCCAATTCTCTATTGTGCTTTAGCCAAGCTGTAACCAAATTTGGAAGAGTTGTTTTGATTTAAGATCTGTGCTGTCTTAGGTGGTCACTACCGGTAGGCAGATGAAAACTTCATGTGATTTCCAGAGTCATACTTGAGTTGCTGATTTTGTGACTCATGACTTGACTTGTAACAATCAGTTTTTTACTTGGACTTGAAAAAAATGACTTGACTTGGACCTGCATATTATGACTTGCTACCAATGCAAGTCAGAAAACTATTCAATTGAACCCATTACAGTTTTAAACTAAGCCCATCAACAGGTTGGGGACCAAACCACAATCTAGCAACGACGCCAGACGATGCATATGCCGCTCGATTGTGCAACGATGACATAAGTTTTTAACCATTTTTAGATCACGGTTTGCGGATGACATTGATCTCTTTATCGCCAAAAACTTCAATACAAATTGCTCTGATTGATTGAAGTTACAAGAAAAAACATGCTACCCCAGATCTAAATGAAACTCTCCTTTCATTTGGTATGTCTAAAAGCAGCTCGAGGAGATTTTTCAGTTGAATCTTGCACTGGAGGTGTTGAATTTGGTGGGTAAACGAGTTCAATTCTGCCGATGAAAATGTTTATGCCTAAAAAAAGTTTTGCCAAAGTTTACTTTATACATGAAAATGTTGCCATTAACAATCTCCATCGATTCACTGTGGCAAATTGTATGTTTACCGTGGCAATTTTCCAAAATAATGATCGGAAGTAATTTTGCCATAGACTCCAACAGCAACGGCAACTATGTTGGCTGCCAGCATTTCAAATCTCGATATTTTCCCAAAATCCCCAAATTACATCATTCTCATGTGATATGATCAAAACATTGTCATTGCCACTTGAACAAGCGACATAAGCAGAAACTAGGGATGTTGTTAGATTGTGGTTTGGTCCCTGACCTGATAAACTTGCCTTTGGTGTTCTTAAAATAATCATCTTTAAGACTTAACTTGTTCGCCTCTACTTTTAACTTGTTTGCGACTATTTAATAGGTCATGCCTGCCCTGAATCACCATTGTTTGTGGTGTGTTTACGATTTTCACTGTTTTTCCCAACAGGAGAGCCAATCAACAGCTTAATTTGTGTTATTCACATCAGTTCATGATTTCACTCAGCCTCGAAGGTTGAAAATTTCCGAGTATTCAAAATGCTGTGTTTAGGTGGTCGTAACATGCCTTCAAGACTTGCTAATCAATTAATTTTACAACAAAGGAAAGAGTTCATACGGACAACACTTGATCAAATATGACATGTGACTTGACTTGTGACTGGACCAAATGACTGGACTTGACTTGGACTTGCAAATAAGGACTTGTTACCACCTCTGGTGATTTTGGTCATACTTATCAGTATTCATGGACCAAAGCTTAATATACATGTGCAGACTTTTCTTTCACTATCCACCCTGAGCTGAAGTACACCCTCACCAGCGAAAGAAAGACAAAGTTTTCCAACTGGGTTCTTGTACGAGTTCGGCATGCACGCAAAGACCACACATTCCAGACTAAAATTGTTACGCATACTCATCATGCTCTGCGTCACGCGCATAAACACGTGTGCCTATGGAGTGAGCGAGTACCAAAGGACTGTCAATTTCATTTCAAACCATGCCCTCTTTATTTCTGCTCAGAGCAGATATAACAAGCAGAGTTTAACTGTGGCTAACCATTGGTACAGAATCAAAAGCATAATTTACAGTGTCTTACAAAATCTCGCGCAGCTGTCAAAATGAGTAAATAACTACTAAATCCTCTTAAAATGGTGATGACTCCCATTTCAATGCTGAAGCAAAAATGTAGATTTGAGACAGAAGACATTTCACAAAGTGTAGACTTTCCACAAACTTTTTTGCCAACTACACAAGAATGTGGTCCATATTTGATAACATAAGAAAGGTAATGGCTTGGGTCAGAGGTCCACCACAGGACAAAAGTACCCAGAACTAATTATCATTAAAACACTACAGCAGACGTAGAGATACACATGGGTGTAAATCCTGGGGGAAGGGGTATATATTATCCCCCACTTCTTGGGCCATTTAATCACCACCCCCCACATGCATACACACTTTTTTTCATGGCGAGAAAAAAATAGCTAAAATGTATTAATATTATTAAAGAAGGGAGAGTAAAAAAGCCATAATTATACTGTTCTGATGTTGGATTCTCAGGCATATATAATGCACATCACAGATTGTGTCGTATGGTGTCCTTCCCTTTTCAAATTTCCATGAAGAGGCAAGTCGTGACCCCCACCATAATTCCCCATCCTCCCAAATAAGCTTGTTGTAAGTTAGATTTGAATAAAATCCGGTACACCCAGTTCTTTAACTTCACATGAACATAGCAATTAGAATTCTACATGCAAAAGATGCCGTTGCGAATCAGGGCAAGCTTTTACATAGTTTAAGAGATGTCTCGCACTAATACACTGCTTTCAGTGCATAAGGAACCATTCCATTCCAAGGATGGTGGTTGCTATGCAAAAGCTTGCACGAGGTATAGCAACAGTGTCTTTAGGCTGGGGAATTCATATCGCTATGTTTATGTGCAATCAGTGTATCTCAGTATACCAGATGTTATTCACATTGAACTCTCAAAAGGCTTATTTCCAAGACACATTTATGCGGCTGGTGTTTGGATTGCATATGGATTGCAACTCATCAGTATTAAAAAAAGGTTTAAAAGCAGTTACTTTATATTTCTTTAAATGCTATTATTATGGTTGATTTTAAGGCTTTGTGAGGAATCCTTTTTAATTTGCTCTGCATCTGTTTTGTGGAGGGGACGCTTCACTATAGCGTGCAATATGTTGACAATGCTTCAGCTGATTTCTGCAAAATTCTCTCTTCCAAGATTGAAGTTCTTTCACTGGAAACAAGATGATTCCCCATTTTTCATCCTATTGCCGTTGAACTTTAACTGTGTTCCTGAACCAAGTCTTTCATATATACCTGCACTGTATGTTGGTCTTCACAAAATGCTTTAGAAGGGTCAGTTTTTGCACTGAAAATTTCCTAAAAATTATATGGGATCTACAGACCAGGCAAAGCTGTGGATAAATTAATAAAGTTTGGAATGTTTATGAAGCCTGTCCAGACCAACTGAAAGATATGCTGTGCACAGTGAGTGTGTACTTTTTGATGCACTGTCAAGTACGCCGTATTTACGATGTACACAATTCAGAGAAATACTAAAAGTACAAATGGGAAATGGATGTCATGATTTCATGTTATGTTTTTATTCGCAAAGTAACCCACTAATATTCAAAGAAAAAAAAAATTCTCAATTTCACTCATCCAATGCCAGACACAATGACTAAACGGATGTCTAAACCAAAAATAGAACAAATTTTGTTTGTTTTTTTTCTTATATACAAGGCACAGAGAAACAGGTTTAATTTTTAACTGGAGGCACAAATATACAGGCTCGCCCTGTGGTTAGTGGCGCAACTGAAAAATTTGCTTTTTCTCTTTGTTCATACATCTAAGTTTTTAAGCTTCAACTGTAGACACTCCAGTTGCCAAGTTTTGTTTAGGTTGGGGGCCTTTCAAAAGGTGTTTTTCCTGGCATAAGCTGGTCTACATTTTCTTTACTAACTTGACATGTATAAATTTATAGTGTTGCAAAACTAACCACCTGCATGAACAACAATTTTGTTTTTTCAATTAAAACTCTGCTATTTAAGGCACATGAAGCTTTTAATCCCTCTTTCCCATTTCTTTTTTTTGTGTGTGTGCACTGCGTATTTCACCTTTAAAGTTCATTCTTCAAGTTTTCTTACAATGTCATGTAATCTTAGTCATGGAAGTGAAATTACTGTATCAAAAGTTAGCTGCACTACAGTTGATAGTTATGTTATACAGTTACACAAAAATTCTCAACAGTTATAACTTCAGTAAAGTTTCTACGGATACCATTATCTATGCACTATGTTACCATGGTGAGCAATTTACAATTAGTCAGATACAATGAACGCATTAAGAAACTCCATATTTGGGTGAATAAACAAGTATAAATTTCTGATATCTACAGTTTTTAACCTGTGAACTATGATAGACAGTCACTGATGCTAAAAATGACAGTGGCAGAAAGTATATGTACTTCTACATTGAAATGAGGAAGACCTTTCAGATAGAAAATATTGCAATTCTGTAAATGGCAGGTACAGTGTATAACATTGTATAACATTGTTACAATATCTCAGTGGAAAAGTCTTTGATATAAAGGCACTATTGATAAAGTTGTTGCAAGGTATAAAAGCATTTGACTCTACAAAAGATTTAGTACTCACGAGTCACCCAGCAAATTTAAAATGTCAACTTTTGCACTTCATTTAACTAGACAAAACTGCATACATTGGAGTTTACTCCATTATTTGGTTGAAAAGAGTGTTTCTTTTTTTTTCCCAAAGATATTTTCATTATGTGCAACACAAATAACCAACACCACTACAGTACTTTCATTGTACACATCAACTTTTTTAGGCGTGGGCTACAGTACATTGGCTAATAACTTCAAATGAACAATAAATATTCTTAGCATTTAGCAAAGTTTAGCTTGCTTCATTGCTGTCAAACGTACATGCATACAACAAAATAAACAGCAGAAAATTAATGTTTTTTATGTTGACAAATAAGTTTGAATGATGTAAGTAATTAATATAATTGAAAAACAACACTACAAATATTTGCCATCTCTTTAATTTTGCGGTGAAACTGTAAGCTAAATCAAAGTGCTTTCAAACCGCAGGTACATTAACACCAGTGTTACGAAACATACACGTAAATCATGAAGTATATTTATACTTACAATTAAATACGACAATTACACTTAGTGATGTACTCGAAGTAGCACATCTGACAAGTTTCATTTTAATTATCAATTCACTGTTGGGGGAAAACACAAGTGCACATTACTCTTCCAAACAATTTTAATGCACGTATTACACAGTAAGTATAGTTACGTGTTATAATAGGTGAAAGTGCTAAATATTAAATGCCAGTTACATGTACAAAAAAATCACATTAAAAGTTAACCTTTCTAGTCAAGATGCTCCTCTCAAGAAACAGCAATCAGGAAAAATTTCCATAAGCTTGTCTTACAGCAGTATAAATGTACACCAATGTTCAAAACTGATTTCATATTAGTAGTTTCCAATATGCAAAGTTTTTGATCTTCCAATTTGAGTGTGATATTTAAGTTATTCATCTCATGTTTTGTCATGTGGGGAATATAACCTGTTCCATAAAACATTGATGTAAAAAATTAAACTGAACATGGATACTTAACTTTAAGAGCATGTACATGTATCAGGTAATTTCAAAGGAACTGGAAGTCACTTTTAAGTCTTCTAAAATAGCAAAATGTTCTACTTTGCTAATGTACAAAGCAGGAACAAAATCAGCAGTTAGATCTTGATGGGTTTTGTTTCAAAAACTGAACCACAAACCAGAAAACTGGGGGGGGGGTGCATGCGTGCTTGGGAGGACGGGTGAGATCATGCATAATAAAAAGGCTTAGTTCATGTGGATAATTGTTAGCTGGTGTATGGCAGACACCTGCACTCACTCTGTCAATGATGACATCTGTGACACAGGGCACCACTACTCGCTGTGTTTCTGCTCAGGTGTGCCCAGTGTACTGTACAGACCCCCGGTTGTTGTCATTGTCGGCAAGTGGCTGGTGGCAGGATACTGAGTCACACTACCTTGTACTTGCACACCCATAGTTGGCAGCTGTGCCTGCATCGGTAACATCCCCTGTACAGGAAAAGGTGCATAGGGTGAGAAGTTGCCCATTGGAAGAACCCCTGGCATCTGCACACCGGGACCTTGCATCCCCACCCCAGGGGGCTGCATCCCCTGGGGTAGATAATACATTGGCTGCTGCACGGCAGGCATCATCATGTTAGGGTGAGAGTACATGAAGGGCACAGAGGGAACACGAGGGGCTGTTACATTCATAGGCCCTAAGTTTCCAGATTGGGACTGACTGGTGATTGGAAAAGATGATGGCTGCATCTGCATTTGTGTGGCCGGTAACTGAGTGGCCTGTAGCTGAGCCGCCTGCAGCTGAGTCGCCTGCATCTGTTGACGAAGGAGCTGCATCTCTTCCTGCTGATGTATGATAATTCTCTGCAGCTCTGTTGTGTCCAGCATTGTGACATTTTTAATATCAGTTGGAGTCTCCGCAACTTGTTTTGAAGATGATTCATCAACCACTCCCATCTGTGGGTGGACTTTGGGGCTCGTTCGAGGGCTTGACTGTTTTGGTTTTGCCACTGTTTTTCTTGGGTGGCTTTTGTATGGGAGGCTGTGTCTGTCAATCTCAGAGTGGGATGCCATATCTGAAAAACCAGAGTCCAAACGACCACTAAAGTGCTGTCGTCTGGGAGTTTCATCTTCAGAAAGGCCTTCCGAAGAACTTTCAGAATGCCTGTCATGATCCCCACTAACCGGTCTGCGAGCATATGCCTTCCGTTTAACCTTTCTAGTAACTCGCTGCTGAGTTGGCGATTGTTTGACTGCTTTGTCTGAATTTACTTTGTCCTTTTCATCTACATTTTTCAGAACCACACCTTGAGTCAGACTGTCTGGAGATTCTGGTCCGATTTCTGGCTGAGCATCAGATTTCTTGGGCAACCCTTCAAACATTCCCCAACTTTCATCAATGTTCGGTGTGGATTTGATATGGCGTCGGTGTTCCCTTATTTTTACTGCCTCATCATGCCCTCTTCGGTGAACTTCTGTATCATCACTGAATGTTTGAACACTTGCGGAAGGCGACTGTAATGCTTTAGTAACCTTTATTTTAGCGAGCAGGTTTCTGGTTCTTTCACGGACCTCTCTGCGACGTCTCATGTATGTTTCCTCATCTCCTAATTCTGTTCGTTTTGAGTTCTCATTTTGTACAGTAACCTGTTGCTGCATTTCCTTTTTCTTTTCAACTTCAGGTTTCACAGCAATTTCTGGTACTACAGCTTTGTTTAACTCATTCTGATCTCTGTTCTGCTCAGTTGAAATGATTGATGCTGGTGGTTCATCAAATGGGTTATCATCCAGCTCTTGCCATGCAGATTTCCCTATGTCCAAACCAACATCTTTTTCTTCAAGTTTGCTAGAGTGCTCCATTTGCTGGGAATGAAGATCAACACCTTGCAGTACTGGCATTAATGGCTGCTGTTGGTTGTCAGGGAGGTGGACTTCTGTCTCTTTAATATGAATATGCTCTATTGGTTTACCCTGGACAAGCAACTGCACTTTCTCAGATTTAGACTGTTCTTTCTCAAACTTCTCCTGACTTGCTTCAAATTCATCAGCAGCTGTACTCTTCTTCCTTGCCCGCTTTTCCTTCCAGGAACTAACACTTGCTATTATTGGATTATCATCATCTTCAACCTTCTTTTTGATGGGAACTTCCTCTTTCTTTGGTAGTCTTTCTGTCGACTTCTTCCATGTCATTGCTTTGCTCTGATACAAAACACGACCCACACCTGCAAAAGTTAGTGGTGCCTGAGATTGTGTTGGCTTCTGTGGTGACGGAAACTTGGATACTGCTTGTGCATGTGTGTTTTCCACTTCAAGCTGACTCGAGGCTTGATCCCGCTCCACTATCCCAGCCTTTTCAGGAAGAACAACTTTTCGCAGTTTTGTCTGCACTTTCAAGAACTCAAGGTTCTCTTTGTCATCTCTTTTGGTCGAGGTGATAAACTGTGATGCAATGTCCCTGTGTGTAGTGCTTTCCTCAAGAGGTTTGTTGAGGTTTTCTTTTGTTTCTGAGATCGAAGTTCTGCCAGGAATGTTTACCTTCCTCATTTTAGTCTGGGCTTGGAGGAACTCCAGATTTTCCTTATCTGAATCAGCTGAACTTTGTACAGCTTGGTGTTCTGAGATTTGCTTCCTTGGCTTATCAGACTGTTTTTGAGCACTGCCCCCAGACAACGCACCACCAAACCTATTCCGAATAACCTTCACAACACTTAATGAAGCCAGTTTTTCAAGCTCATCCTTAGCATCTGACCTTTCAAAATCAAAAGACTTTCCTTTATTTCCCCCGGATACATAATCTCTTTCTACAACCTCTTTCCACTCTACTGCACCAAATGATTTGGATCTTGACACTGCATTAAATGATTTAGACACCACATGATCACAACTTTTCTTCTTTTGCAACGAATTTGACCTGGTCAGAGGCTTGTCCGTCTTTCTATCTGTTTCATTCTGAAGTGTCTTTTCTGTATTTGCATTTTGATCTTTAAGTTTGTCAACATGGTGATCTTCAATTTTATTAGTGGCTGTTTTAATTTCAGCAAACTCAGCTGGGCTATGTTCACTTTCACCCTTTTTTGAAGTTTTAATTTCATCAGCTTCTCTCTCCACTTTTTCTTGTTTTGCCTGCTGTTCCACAGCATCTGCTTCATCTTCTGCTACCCAGGATGATCTTAATCTGTCCGAATCACTCTCTTCCTCTCTACATCTGCTAGAAGTATTGTCCAATAGGGTCTCAGTTACTTCGACAGATGAGACATTTTCACCATCATGGGGCAGTTCAACAATGCAAGTCGACTTGTCCAAAATATCGGAAGAAGATGGGTACCCTTCTTCCGCTCCATTTGAGTCATAATGACTTTCAATGTCTTTCTGCTCCTCTCTGAAAGTCTCCCCCTCAACAGTTGTTCCAGAACTTGACTTGATAGGGAAATCGACCCCCATCATCCGTGCCATGGATCTCTTGAGGATTGCTTTAATTTCAGAAGACTTCTCATGATTGGATAGAATAGCCTCCTTAGCCATTTGCCTGACTACTGAAAGGTCGGGGATCACTGGTGGCTCTCTGTGGGAGTGCCCTGAGGGCAAATCATTTTCTGAGAAAGGAATATCATCATTATCAATGTACTGTTTGAGTTTTTCTGGATCCTCAGTAGGGGTATCTTCACAGAAGAGATCTGTAGACGGTGACTGCGAGGGCTTCCGCTCTAAGGATAAAATGTTTTCTTGTGGCTCACTGCATGCTTCCACTGAAATGCTGCTAGTAGGTAGACTTGGAGAGTCTTCCATTTTTTTATCACCAATACCTTCAGTGCCATTTTCAGAGTCTGCTGTTTGCATGTGGGGTGCAAACATAATGTCTGAATCAAACAGATAAATTTGCTTGAACTTTGTCATTTGTTCTTCCTCTTTGGGTGACAGTTTAGAGGGTTCCTCCTTAGTTTGAGGATTATCCTCACATGATTTGTCAATTACTTTTGGATCAGCTGTCTCATTGGAAAGAGATGCATTCTCTAACTGAATTTGCTCAGACACGGATGTCTCCTGTTCGGTTTCCATGCTGCTTTCATCCACACACTCTCCTTCCGTGGGGAAAAGAGGCTTCTTTCGGTTTGCCTCCAATTCTTCAACAATCCTGGGTGATGCAGAGCGCTTTGGTTTTGGAGGGGGAGCTCCTGGTGGTAGTGGCATCTCCTTGACTGCTTCTGCAACTTTGTTCAGGTCTTCAATACTTGAATACATGATACCACGCTCAGCCAGAAGGCTAGACGTGGAAATGTTAGACATTTGGGATAAAAGAAGTGGGCCCCGACTTCCTTCAAGTGAGGCAGCTTGGCCATGGGTATCTTTTTTGTGGGAGTACATGTCTGGCAATGAAAATGTGCTGTGCCTTTTGTCTTTTGATTCAAAAGGTTGGGTGGAGGTGAAAGCTTTTCTACCATGAACTGGAGGCACTTCTATCGAAGATGAAGATGAAAATGATTTTAAAGAATGCTCAGACACTGGAGACCCAGGGACATCACCTTTTAGTAAGTGTTCTTGAGGTGAAATTTTTATGGAGGGCGGGGGCGGGGCTGCCCGTTTTTTGGTACCAGACCTAGACGAATTTGAAGAGTTACTGTCAACTGAAACCCTAGGCCCTGGCAAAAATTCTGCAGGGGAGTAAGCAACAGGACTGCTATTGCTAACAGATATATCTACACCTTCAGGGCTTTTTGCAGAAACACTATCACATCTACTGACTCTTGCTGGTGGAGAAATATCCCAAGTTTCTTGAGGGATTTCTGTGCCTTTCTTGGTCTTTTTCTTCCCGAACAGCTTGCCTAATGTTCCCACCTTGCCCTCCCTCTGGCTCTCAGATTTTGACATTTTTTTCTGTTGCGTGTGGTGTGCATGCAGTCTGTCACCCCTGTTGGACGACATGCGGTTAACATCATTTACTGTTTCAGAAAGTAGCGATAGAATATGCAAGAAAAACAGAAAAAGCAAGCAGAATTATCTAAGTGGCATCACAACAACCGTCCATGCAAGCAAGTAGCAATCTATTAAAGTAATCATGCAGTCACACTCTGGGGAAATTTGTTCACAGCAAAATGCAATGTGCATGAACAGCAAAATCAAAGCAAATGCAATGGAGTGAGATTCTTCTTACGAATGAACTCATGACAAAGAAACAACATCTGTATCCCTTCTCCAACATCACTGATTAGAATTCTGTGATGAGACAATTGAACTCAAAATGTGATACAAGTTTACTTGATTGTTTGCTGTTGCAATTTATCACAAGGAGAAAGGCACCAACGTTATTTCATTGACGTGCTGAAATGTGCATGCACATTAAAACGCCAAGACCACTGGTGAATGAATGGTCCTCATACCTTTTGAAACTATAGCAGCTGCATTTGATTATCGAGCCAATCTATGCTACTTGTGTTCCTGGTACCACAAAATCAACAAGAAATCTCATCTTAGGACAGGAAAATCCTGCAACACATTTCATGAGAGTTATCAAACTAGACATCTACACCCGTCCTCATTTTCAGCAAACGGATTTCATCTTTGATGAAATATCTTTCAAGCTTTAGAGTTTAGAAAGTTCTTGCATACAGCAACCTTTGACATCAGTTCCATTAGCAAAAGCCAAAGAATTTGCCAACACACTTATCTACAAATTCTGATGTTGGCATTTGATCACAAATTTATTTTCTATTATTGAATTAAAGTTACTCCATAAAAATTCATTTTCTAAAAATGCATAATTTTGTTTACTGTCGGGGAAAGGTACCATACAGTTTGCTGCAAATTGGCAATTCCACGAGGAAGTGGAAATTGGTCATGCTGTAAATGACCTAATTCATAATAAACCAATTGCACCCACTAAGTCACGTGACCTATAGTGGGTATCAAACATCAACAAATATAGCGTCATCCCAAAGCAAATGTGTCGTATTATTTATCAAAAATAAAGCTGACAATCAGTACAGCACACAGCCTGCAGATGTGTTGGGTACTATATCAAAAGTTGGCTTCATATTTGGGAAATACTTAAAACACACTTTGCTATAGGGTTTGTTCATGTTTGATACCCACTCTAGGTCATGTGACTTTTCGGGTACAATTGGTCTTTAGATTTTTGGAAAAATTTATTTTTGTGAATGAACATGGACATAAATGGTAAAACCAGTAATTTCCACTTTAAATTTTGGGAAATCTTTTAGTGCATGCATTACAAATGATGAGGTCAGAAACAGCACGACCAACTTCCATTTGCATGTGGAATGGCTTAGATGTCACTTGTCAACATCAGTAACTTACAAGAATAGTCTTGTAATTTCTAGAAATTCATTAGTTAAATTTAAATTTGAGCATTAAGCTAGTCTTTACTACATGAATCACATTAAGCTTTACTCACCATCAGACCTACTGGAGTGTGATGGGTGTTCAGCACGGGGTCCTAAGTCTTCATCAGCATTGCCTTCATCTGGTATTTGTACAATGTGTTGACGAGCTCTGCGGCTGAAAAACTTCCCCAAAGACTTCTTTTCCTTGGAGTGGGAATGTTCTTTGGCATGTGCCGCCAAATCATCTGCATCATCTCCATTTGCATTATTGTTCACATTGAGTTCTACAATACTGTGCCTCGACTCCGTCTCTTGCTGCTGTGTGTTGCTGTTGTTGTTGTTTGAATTGGGATTGTCAGAGTCACTTGAGTCCTTTTTGCCAAATCCCAATGTTGACATAATTTTGGAGCCAATGCCTTCATCAGAGTCTGAGGATGAGCTAGAGCTGGAGCTGGAGCTGGAGCTGGAGCTGGAACTTGAATCTTTGGAAAAACCTATTGAACTGAAGAATCCTTTCTTTTCCTTCTTTTTCTTTTTTGGGCGGGCCTTTCCTTCTGCTTTGACATCGACATCAGCTTTGCCTGCTACTGAGCCCGACATTTCTGGCAGTTTAACCGAAAGTCCTCCAGAAGCAGCTTTGTCGACATCAACTTCACCGCCAACTCCACCCCCTATTCCAATGTCTGCACTTGGTAGATCCACAGAAACACCACCATCAACAGATGATCCCTCACTCTCCTTTTTCTTCTTGCCCTTTCCTCTCTTCTTCCGCTTTGCTTTACCACCAGCAGAACCAGAGACTTTAGGTATGTCCACATTCGCTGAGCCAGATAAATCAACACCTGCATCACCCCCTGATGACACATCTGGTTTTGTAGCACCAACATTAGTGTCAACATCTCCACTAAGACCACCGCTAATATCAAGGCCACCACTCACAGCACCACCCATATCTCCACCTAACGAACCCTCTGGTTTAGCTGCTTTAACATCCAGGTCAACTTTGGGCTTAATAACATCACTGCCAAACCCTGCACTAAGATCAGCTCCAATTCTTCCATCCGAACCACCACCAATGCCAAATCCTCCAGCCACAGATGGAACATCAGGTTGCACTCCATCCCCACTGAGTCCTCCACTGCTTCCACCAAGGCTGGCACTGCCAATGTCTAGTCCGCCCACAGAAAGTGAACCATCAGGCTTCGGTACATCAACATCCACACCAATTCTTCCATCTCTAGTTCCACCTACATCACCAGTTACATCAAGTCCCCCACCTGTGGACAATAAACCTTCTGGCTTGGGAGCTGAAACATCTACATCAATTTTTCCATCCCCAAAGCCACCTATACTACCTCCTAGGCCTCCACCAATCTCTAGTCCTCCACTAACATCTCCAGTGTCCACATCCACTCCACCTACAGATAGTGAACCCACTGGTTCTGGTGCTGCAACGTCTACCTTCCCATCAACAATTCCGCCAAGTGCTGAAGCAACTCCTCCTCCAAGACCTCCACCAAATCCAAATCCCCCACTTACATCACCACCTACATCCAGTCCTGGTTTGGGAGATACAATGTCTACATCTATTCTTCTGTCTCCATTTCCACCAATATCTCCTCCAAGGCCTCTACCGATACCACCTACACCCAGTCCTCCACCTACAGAGAGTGAAGCATCTTGTTGGGGGGCTGCGACATCTACATCTATTTTCCCTTCTCCAATTCCACCAATACCTCCTCCAAGGCCTCCACCAATGTCACCACCTGCATTCAGTCCTCCGCCTACAGAAATTGAACCATCTGGTTTGGGGGCTGAAGCATCCATATCTATTTTCCCATCTCCAATTCCACCAATACCTCCTCCAAGGCCTCCACCAATTTCAGCACCTGCATCCAGTCCTCCACCTACAGAAATTGAGCCATCTGGTTCGGGGGCTGCAGCATCAACATCTATTTTTTCATCTCCAATTCCACCAATACCTCCTCCAAGGCCTCCACCAATGTCACCACCTGCATCCAAACCTCCGCCTACAGAAATTGAACCACTTGGTTTGGGGGCTTCAACATTCAATTCAAGTTTTCCATCAGCAGCTACATCATCAGGTCCTTTGGCTTTGCTTGAAAATCCAAATGAAGGCAATTTGATTTTAAATCCTTCCTTACCCTCACCATCAGACTCTGAAGAACTAGATGAACTGCTGCTTGAACTGCTGCTTGATTTCTCATCCTTTCTCCCAAATCCAAAACCAAACCCTCCTTTCTTTTTTCCCTTGGGTTTTCTGGGTTTCCCTTTCTTGCCAAGCTTCAATCCAACATCTGGTATTTGGCATTCTATCTTGCCATCCCCACCTCCACCTGTATCAAGGCTTCCACCAAGGGATAGACTACCACTTCCATCAAGATTCCCACCAACATCAGGCTTTGCTACGTCAAAAGATCCATCAACATCTCCACCTACGCCACCTTTTACATCACCTCCAATTTCAAGACCTCCACCAAAACCTCCACCAGATGAAATGAACCCTGGTTTAGTTGCTTTTGCACTGATATCAGCTTCAGGTTTAACTACATCACCTTCAAAACCTCCACCAAATCTGCCACCACCCAAATTCTGCTCTCCACCTATAGCCAATGATCCGTCTGGCTTTGGAACTTGAGCATCCACATCAATATCTCCAACTCCAAAGCTTCCACCAGCACCACCACCAATGCCTCCACCAAAACTGGCGATGCCATCTCCACTTACATCAGGTCCAGTAAGAGAGAGTGAACCTTGGGGATCAGGTGCTGAAACATCTACATTAAGTTTTCCATCTCCAATACCACCAAGGCCTCCGCCAAGACCAATGCCTCCACCACCTAGTCCACCTACTGAGAGTGAGGCATCTGGTGTAGGTGCTGAGACATCCACATCCACTTTTCCATCTCCAATTCCGCCGAGGTCTCCACCAATACCTCCGCCAAGGCCCCCACCAATACCTCCTCCAAGTCCTCTGCCAACACCCTTACCTCCCTCTTCTGTAAGTGAGATATCTGGTTTCGGTGTTGAGACATCTACGTTCACTTTACCATCTCCAATTCCACCAAGGCCCCCACCAAGGCCCTCACCAAGTCCAAGTCCTCCACCAACATTCCCACTTCCATCTAGTCCTCCGTCTACCGACAGTGAGGCATCTGGTTTAGGTATCGAGACATCTACACCCAGTTTTCCATCTCCAATTCCGCTGAGGCCTGCACCAATACCTCCTCCAAAGCTCCCGCCAAGCCCTCCGGCAACACCCTTACCTCCCTCTACTGTAAGTGAAGCATCTGGTTTAGGTGCTGAGACATTTACGTCCGCTTTACTATCTCCAATTCCACCAAGGCCCCCACCAAGACCAAGTCCTCCGCCAACATTCCCACTTCCATCTAGTCCTCCACCTACCGAGAATGAGGCATCTGGTTTTGGTGCAGAGGCATCCACATCCAGTTTTCCATTTCCAGTTCCACCAAGACCCCCACCAAGACCAAGTCCTCCGCCTACTGAGAATGTGGCATCTGGTTTAGGTGCTGAAACATCTACATCCACTTTTTGATCTCCAATTCCACTGAGGCTTCCACCAATACCTCCTCCAACACTCCCACTTCCATTTAGTCCTCCTACTGAGAATGAGGCATCTGGTTTAGGTGCTGAGACATCTATATCCACTTTTTGATCTCCAATTCCACCGAGGCCTCCACCAATACCTCCTCCAACACTCCCACTTCCATTTAGTCCTCCTACGGAGAATGAGGTATCTGGCTTGGGTGCCGAGACATTGATATCCACCTTTCCATCTCCAAATCCACCAAGCCCCCCACCAAGACCAAATCCTCCACCAACACCTCCCCTTCCATCAAGTCCTCCATCTACTGATAGTGAGGCATCCGGCTTAGGTGTTGAGACGTCCACACCAATTTTTCCACTTCCAACGTCTCCACCAATGCCGATGCTATCAGCATGGCCACCATCTATATTTCCAACTACTGCAGGGACTTCAGGCCTGTCAACATCCAAACCAATGTTCCCATCTCCAGAACCAGTGATATCTCCAGCAATTCCTCCTTCTACAGAAACACCAGGTGCTTTTGGCTTGCCTGAAAATCCAAAACTTGGCATTTTGACTTTAAAACCACCTTTTCCTTCTTGGTCTGATTCTGAGGAACTGGAACTGCTGCTTGAAGTCCCATCTCCCTTTCCTCCAAATCCAAAACTAAAGCCTCCTTTCTTCTTCCCTTTTGGCTTTTTTGGTTTTCCCTTCTTGTCAATATTTAATCCAACATCCGGAACTTTAATTTTTCCATCTCCACCACTTATGTCTATTCCTCCACCCAGAGAAACATCTGGTTTTGGTACTGCCACATTTGCATGTAGTCTTTCATCTCCATCAACTCCTCCACCAATATCTCCACCTGCAAAGAAGGATCCATCAGGTTTGGGTGCTGCAACATCAACACCACTAATGGTCCCACCATCTGAGATTGAGGCATCAGGTTTTGCAGCTTTTGCCTCAATGTCAACACTTGGGGTAACAATATCGCCACCTGCACTCACATCCAGTCCTCCATCCTTTTTACCACCTAAGCCAAATCCAAATTTGCCCTTCTTTTTCTTTGGGCTGCCTTTCCCCTTTACATCTACACTTCCTGACACCTTTGGTGGCGAGGCATCAACATTTTCATCTGCATCTCCAGAGACTTTATGTTTAGACTTGCCAAAGTGTATAGAAGGCATGCCAAAGCTGCCCCGTTTCCCAGACCCTCTCTTTTTATCATCTCTGTGCAAGTCTATGTCAGCTTTGCCATCAAAGTCTGCTTTAACACTTGGTCCACTTGGCTGATCCACTGAAATGTCAGCATCAGGTTTTTTTACCTCCAACTCACCATCAAGAGATACGCCAGCACTGCCACCAGTAGGTTTGAATTTTCCTTCAGCACCAACATCGATGTTCCCACCTTGATTGAGGTCATAGTCTCCTTTTCCTCCTTTCATCTTTGGTAACCCAAAAGATGGCATGTGAAAACCTTTCTTCTTTTTGCCAGATCCTTTACCTTTTCCACCAAAACTAATGTTGCCATCAATCTCAGCATCAAGGGATGCATCTGGTGTTTCAACATTTAAGGAAGCATCAGGGCTAGAGAGTTTACCACTTGGTAGATCAACTGAAACTCCACCTTCAGGTTTTGGAGTCTTAACGTCAACATCTAAAGCCTTTGCCACTCCCCCTAGGTCAGGGCCTTCAATGTTGATAGAAGTCTTTGGTAGGTTTACATCTACTTCTGCACCACTTTTAGGGACATCAATGCTACCAGACACACCGATACCAATGCCAGCACCACCCTTCTTGTCTACATCTGGGCCTTGAACATCTCCAGATATTTCTGGACCTTTCAGTTTCCCTCCAGCATCACCTTTGACTTTTGGCCCCTTGATGCCACCTCTCAGGCCAATGCCTCCCTTGCCATCATCAGACTCCGAATCACTAGAGCTGCTTCCGTCTCCCTTTCCTTTAAAGCCAAAGCCAAATGATGGCATGTGAAATCCTCCACCTTTTTTCTTTTTGGGGCTCTTCTTTTTGCCGCTAGCAGACAAACTGACATCAACTTCAGGAATATTGACACTTCCTCCTATAGATGCATCTGGACCTTTACCTGACATGTCTATGTCAGGTTTAGATGCTTTGCCATCAATGTCAACACCTACACCTCCAATCTTCGGACCTTCGATGGAAAGTGAGGCATCTCCTTCAGGCAGTTCTACTTTTCCTCCAGCACCTCCACCAATATTCAAGTCAACATCAGGACCAGATACCTTTGGACCTTTTACATCCCCTTCGATCTTGAGTTCTCCATCTACGTCGACATCACCATGTCCTTTGCCTTTACCCTTGGGTAAGTGTATGGAGGGGACGTTGATTGAGGGCATGTGGAATCGGCCCTTTTTCTTCCCAGATCCTTTACGTTTGCCCCCCAAGTCAAAATCGGCATCAATATCTCCACCCACATCAACATCTGAAATCTTTCCGCTTGGAAGATCAACAGAAATATCAGCATCTGGTTTCGAAGCTTTAACATCCAAGTCCAAGGATTTGCTCACCCCACCAAGGTCTGGGCCTGCAATGTCAACAGAAGCTTTTGGTAGGCTTATATCTGCATCACCTTTGGGGGCATCAATGCCACCTGACACATCGATGCCGAAGCCAGCACCGCCCTTCACATCAGCATTTGGTCCTTTCATGTCTCCTGACATATCTGGGCCTTTCAGTTTCCAACCAGCATCTCCTTTTGAAGTATCAATCCCACCTGCCACATTGATGTCAATGCCAGCACCACCCCTCACATCTACATCTGGTCCTTCTAAATCACCCGATATTTCTGGACCTTTCAGTTTCCCTCCAGCATCACCTTTGACTTTTGGACCTTTGATGCCACCTCTCAGGCCAATTCCACCCTTGCCATCATCAGATTCTGAATCACTGGAGCTGCTGCTTCCATCTCTCTTTCCTTTGAAGCCAAAGCCAAATGATGGCATGTGAAATCCTCCACCTGTTTTCTTTTTGGGGCTCTTCTTTTTGCCGCTACCAGACAAACTGACATCAATACCAGGAGCATCGACACTTCCTCCTATAGATGCAACTGGAATTTTACCTGACATGTCAATGTCAGGTTCAGAAGCTTTGCCATCAAATTCAACACCTACACCTCCTCCAATCTTCGGTCCTCCAATGGAGACTGCGGCATCTCCTTCAGGTATTTCTACTTTACCTCCAGCATCTCCACCAACATTCAAGTCAACATCAGGACCAGATACCTTTGGACCTTTTACATCCCCTTCGATCTTGAGTTCTCCATCTATGTCGACATCACCATGTCCTTTGCCTTTACCCTTGGGTAAGTGTATGGAGGGGACGTTGATTGAGGGCATGTGGAATCGACCCTTTTTCTTTCCAGATCCTTTACGTTTGCCTCCCAAGTTAAAATCGGCATCAATATCTCCACCTACATCAACATCTCCAGAAAGCTTTCCACTTGGAACATCAACAGAAACATCAGCATCTGGTTTTGAAGTTTTGACATCTACATCTAAGGATTTGCTCACTCCAAAGTCTGGGCTAGGTATGTCAACAGAAACCTTCGGTAGGCTTGTATCTACATCTGCATCACCTTTGGGGGTATCAATGCCACCTGACACGCCAATGCCAAAGCCGGCACCACCCTTCACATCAACATCTGGACCTTTCAAGTCTCCAGAAATATTTGGGCCTTTTACTTTCCCACCAGCACTACCTTTCACTTTTGGGCCTTTGATGCCACCTTTCAAGCCAGTGCCTCCCTTGCCATCATCAGATTCTGAATCACTGGAGCTACTTCCATCCCCCTTTCCTTTGAAACCAAAACCAAATGATGGCAAATGAAATCCTCCACCTTTTTTCTTTTTCGGGCTCTTCTTTTTGCCACTAAGAGACAAATTTACATCAACATCAGGAGCATTGACAATTCCTCCAATCGATGCATCTGGACCTTTATCTGATACATGTATGTCGGGTTTAGATGCTTTGCCATCAATGTCAAGACCTACACCTCCTCCAGTCTTCGGTCCTCCAATGGAGACTGTGGCATCTCCTTCAGGTAGCTCTACTTTTCCTCCAGCACCTCCACCAATATTCAAGCCAACATCAGGACCAGATACCTTTGGACCTTTTACATCCCCTTCAATCTTGAGTTCTCCATCTATGTCGACATCACCATGTCCTTTGCCTTTACCCTTTGGCAAGTGTATGGAGGGCATGTTGATTGAGGGCATGTGGAATCGGCCCTTTTTCTTTCCAGATCCTTTACGTTTGCCTCCCAAGTCAAAATCGGCATCAATATCTCCGCCTACACCAACATCTCCTGAAAGCTTTCCACTTGGAAGATCAACAGAAATAGCAGCATCTGGTTTTGAAGCTTTGACATCTATGTCCAAGGATTTGCTCACCCCACCAAGGTCTGGGCCTGCAATGTCAACAGAAGCTTTTGGTAGGCTTATATCTGCATCACCTTTGGGGGCATCAATGCCACCTGACACACCAATGCCGAAGCCGGCACCGCCCTTCACATCAGCATTTGGTCCTTTCATGTCTCTTGACATATCTGGGCCTTTCAGTTTCCAACCAGCATCTCCTTTTGAAGTATCAATCCCACCTGCCACATTGATGTCAATGCCAGCACCACCCCTCACATCTACATCTGGTCCTTCTAAATCACCCGATATTTCTGGACCTTTCAGTTTCCCTCCAGCATCACCTTTGACTTTTGGACCTTTGATGCCACCTCTCAGGCCAATTCCACCCTTGCCATCATCAGATTCTGAATCACTGGAGCTGCTGCTTCCATCTCTCTTTCCTTTGAAGCCAAAGCCAAATGATGGCATGTGAAATCCTCCACCTTTCTTTTTGGGGCTCTTTTTTTTGCCGCTACCAGACAAACTGACGTTAATATCAGGAGCATCGACACTTCCTCCAATTGATGCATCTGGAACTTTACCTGACATGTCTATGTTGGGTTTAGATGCTTCGCCGTCAAATTCAACACCTACACCTCCTCCAATCTTCGGTCCTCCAATGGAGACTGAGGTATCTCCTTCAGGTAGCTGTACTTGTCCTCCAGCATCTCTACCAACATTCAAGTCAACATCAGGGCCAGATGCCTTTGGACCTTTCACCTCCCCTTCGATCTTGAGTTCTCCATCTATGTCAACATCTCCATGTCCTTTGCCTTTACCCTTGGGTAAGTGTATGGAGGGCATGTTAATTGAGGGCATGTGGAATCGGCCCTTTTTCTTCCCAGATCCACCAATATTGCCTCTTAGGTCAACGTCTCCATCCACATATGCATCCATGTCAACATCGGTATCTATTCCAGCCTTGCCACTTGGAATCTCAACAGAAACACCTGCATCTGGTTTTGTGGTTTTAACATCAACATCCAGGGATTCGGTAACCCCACCAAGGTCAGGACCCTTGATGCCAACAGAGCCCTTAGGTAAGTTTACATCCACATCACCTTTGGGGATATCAATGCCACCAGACATCCCAATACCAAAGCCACCAATGCCCCTTACATCAGCATCTGGGCCTTCTATGTCTCCAGAAATTTCTGGGCCATTCAATTTCACACTTGCATCTCCCACTTCTGGGCCCTTGATACCACCCTGCGGTAGGTTGACATCCACATCTACATCTCCTTTGGGGAGATCAATGCCGCCTGCTAAATCAATACCAATGCCAGCTCCACCGGTCACATCAGCATCTGGAGCCTCTATGTCACCAGATATTTGGGGGCCTTTTAATTGCCCACCAACACCACCTTTAACTTTGGGGCCTTTGATGCCACCTCCTAGGCCAATCCTACCTTTGCCATCATCAGACTCTGAATCACTAGAGCTGCTTCCATCTCCTTTTCCTTTAAAGCCAAAACCAAATGATGGCAAGTGAAATCCTCCACCTTTCTTCTTTTTGTGGCTTTTTTTCCCATCAAGAGCCAAATCAACTTCTGCATCAGGTGTTTCAACACCATTTTGAATGGATACATGTGGTGCCTTTCCTGACAAGTCAACATTTGGTTTAGATGCTTTGCCATCGACATCAACATCCAAGCCACCTTTAATCTTTGGTCCCTGGACAGAAAGTGAGGCATCTCCTTCAGGCAGCTCCACTTTTCCTGCAGCACCTCCACCTACATGCAAGTCAAAATCAGGGCCTGATACTTTTGGACCATTCACATCTCCTCCAATGTCCAACTCTCCACTAACATCCAGATTTCCCTTTCCATCAAGCGAGGGGCCTTTAATATCACCAGCAACTCCACCTCCAACGTCAACATGTGTATCACCCTTTACCTCAGTATCTGGGATGGCTCCGGATACTTTGCCATGCTTGTGCTTGGGGCCAGAAAATCCAAAATTGAATGATGGTAAATGAAATCCAAACCCCGCTTTTTTCTTTGAACCTTTGCCATCAAGAGACAAATCTGCATCTGTGCCTGGTGTATCTACTTTAAGATCCCCTTTTACTCCAGGAGCATCCAAATCAACTCTTCCTCGAACATCTCCACCAACTGAGGCTTCACCTTCAGGCAGATTTACGTCTGTGCCACCTTCAACTTCCAAATCCACGTCTGGCACATCAATGTCACCTTTGCCCTTGCCCTTAAACTTTGAAAAGCTTGGGAGGTTGAAACTAGGAAGTCGGAACTTTTTACCTTTTCCAGATACCTTTCCATCTAAGCTGAGGTCTGCCCCAGGTGTATCCACATCAAGAGAACCAGACACCCCTCCTCCAGCTGCCAATTCACCACTTGGAACGTCTATGTCAACAGATGCATTAGGCTTTGAGGTCTTAATATCAACATCAACAGATTTCTTTACACCACCAACATGAGGTCCTTCTAAATCAATAGTTGGACCTTTAACCCCAACTGATCCCTCTGGTCCTTTCACATTTCCGCCAATAGCAAGTGATCCATCCAGATCAGGGCCATCAACTGACACTTTGCCCTTTGGTAGCCTTACATCTGCTTCAGCATCTGGAGCAGAAATGCCACCTGATAGTGATGGTCCTCCAACAGCACCTCCAAATCCTGCTCCAATGTCCCCTTTGGGTAAATTGATATCTGCATCAATTCCAAACCCTCCAGATACACTTGAACCTGGTACTCCAACATTCACATCAACATCTGCATCTGGTGTCTTTATATCGGTACCTGCGTTGACTTCCATATCCACGTCTGGACCATCAGCCCTTGCCTTTTCTCCCATGCCGAATGATGGCAAACCAATGTGGAACCCCTTCTTTTTTCCTTTTGCTTTTCCATCATACTCTGGTGAATCTACGTCCAGTGAACCAGACAAACCGCCTGATCCTTTTGGTAGTTTCAGCTCAGCATCTGCACCACCTTTGACATCAACGGATCCCTCAGGACCTTTAAACTTTGCCCCAACATCAGGCCCATCAGCACTTCCAACATCTAGTGTGGCATTTACACCTCCACCAACACCTCCTTCAACATCTACATCTGGCATGTCAAATTCTCCACCACCAGCAGCTGATGCTTTGCCGGAACCTTTTCCTTTGAAAGTTGGAAGACCAAAAGATGGCAATTTGAATTTCCCTTTGCCAGAACCATGGGCATCGCTATGGCCAGACACATCAAGATCAACTTTGGGGGCATCCATATCAAGGGAACCAGATGGCCCATGAACATCACTATCCACACTAGGCCCCTTTGCCTTGATATCGATATCAACAGACTTTTTTACATCCAAATCGGCCCCTTTAACTTCAGCTTCACCAGAAAGCTTTGGAGCCTCAACATCTGCATCTCCAACAACGTCAAAGTCAGAAGCTGTGCTCAGTCTTCCCTCTGGTCTTTTAACAGAAACTTTGCCTTTTGCTTTGGCATCACCTGACCCGAATGAAGGGAATCTGAACTTTGGAAGTCTGAAGTGGAAGCCTCCCTTATCCTTTTTGCCACTAAGATCAGGCTTGCCACCTGGCACATCTGCTGTAATGCCAATACCACCTGACAAAGCTGAATCATCAACGTCAGTTCCAGAAATCTCACCAACATCAATACCAGAAGCCTTGACACCTCCTTCAGCACCCAGTGAGACATCTGGTACATTTACTTCTCCACCAATGTTTACACCACCGCCAATCTTGGGACCAGAAACATTGGCATCAGGTTCTGGAATTCCTCCCTTGATGCCAAGTCCACCACTTCCACCAATACCTCCACTGATGCCACCACCAAAGCTGGGAGCTTTGACATCTCCTCCAACCTCCAATGAGGCATCTGGTACCTTTACTCCTCCAGCTATGCTTGCATCACGATCAATCTTGGGACCAGAAACATCGACATCAGGTCCTGAAAATTCTCCCTTGATGCCAAGTCCACCACTTCCACCAACACCACCACCAATGTCACCACCAAAGCTGGGAGCTTTGACATCTCCGCCAACCCCCAATGAGGCATCTGGTACCTTTACTCCTCCACCTACGCTTGCATCACGATCAATCTTGGGGCCAGAAACATCGACATCAGGTCCTGAAAATCCTCCCTTGATGCCAAGTCCACCACTTCCACCAATACCTCCACTGATGCCACCACCAAAGCTGGGAGCTTTGACATCTCCTCCAACCCTCAGTGAAGTGTCAGGTGCCCTTACTCCTCCATCTATGCTTGCATCACCGCTCATCTTGGGACCAGAAGCATC